TTTACCAATTCACCATTAATATTAAAAGTCGGTAAAAGCTCAACTCTAATGTAAAAGGATTTTAAGTTCAAAGCCAAAATAATTTTGGTGTGTGGAAGTTGAAGATAACTGTAGAATTTATCGTGGAAAATTTACTCATGAGAAGAGGTAATATTGAAATTTAAAAATTGGCTTTAAGCATACAATTTAATATTTGCACTTTTTAAAACAAACATTTTTTAACATGAACTTCAGCTGCAACTTTTCAAAAAATCTTCGAAATCTCAGAGCATGTCTAAGAGTCAGCCAAACATTGGTCTTTCTAACAATCGGACACAAAAGCTTGAATCTTTATTGAATCTGTTGATTTCTTTTTGTTGAAAATTGTGTAACCAAATGTTTAATCTATCAGAATAGTGGAACCCAATTTTCAACAAGTGTTTGTCTAGGTAAACCAAAAGTTTTTTTAAAGACCATTTTACAGTAACAAGTGAAGCAAACCTTCAGAGACTAGTTTAAATTTGTCAAATTGGTTTCAACATCAAAAAACTACCAGCATCAAGCAACAAATTCTCATAGCAATTTTTGAAGACATTTCAGAGACATGTAAGCAAATACTCTTGCTGTTGGACATTGAATCAACAAATCTTTTCAATTGTGGAATTCTGAGAACTTTTGGTGGTGCATAAAGCTTTTAAAAGACTTAAAGAAACGACATAAGTTCACCAATGCTGCTAATTTGCCTTTTTAGAGATGTTGTCACCATGCTTTAGCACTCAGTTGGATTTGAATAAAAAACTATCACATTCAGAGCCTGTTACATTGAACTGCTAACTTTCACCACACCAAAGGTACCTGCTGTTTTTCACGGTGTGCCATAATTCATCAAAATTTTTATATATTCTTTAGTTGCTGTATCATTTTTAAAATGTAAAGAATAAAAAAATACTAAAAGAAATTTGTTGAGTTAAGTGAAAAGTTTTATTTTAACTTTTTTTTTTCTTTAAAAGAGTTGGTCTGGTCAGGTTACTCTGGTCAGGTCAGGTTACCCTGCCACTGAAGCACAATGAAGCAGGTTGTACTAACCCAGTATAACCTGCTTCATGTCCTGCTGCATTGTAGGATATACTTTTTTAGGCAAAGGCTAGGACAAGTCAACTTTAACTTAAAACACTTCAGGGCTCTTGGTTGAGTAAAGGTTAGACATGGTGTCTTGATAAAAATACTCATCTTGGGAAGATGTTAAGCGCATCCAGCTACAGTGTTGTAGAAGGCCTCCTAGACAAAAACTTAAGGGGTAAACAGATTTTATCTGATGACTAGCCTTGCAGCCCCTTCTTTATTTATTAGGCTGGCGTAGATGTATTTATAATATGCTTCTAGTTAGGGATGTTGAATACTGGATCTTCTTGACTCAATTCATGGATTTTGCTTGTGTCTCTGTTTTGACAACTAGACATCTCATTTTACTATCACCTAATGAGGGTACAGCTCTAAAACTCAGTTTTATGGTTCTGAGGCCGACTGGTAGTCAGGTTTCCTGAACTCTGTGGTAGTTCTGAGAGACTCTGATTTCATCAACAGCTGTAAAATATATGAGTACTAAAAGTGCTATGTTGCGCATGGATGGTCTCCCTGTTTGTACATTAAGTGTGCATTGTCAAGGCCACATTTGGAGCCCTTTGTTACAGCTTAGGGATTGTTAATAGTAATCAGTCAATTGCTTTACTATTAAATAGTGTACTGAGTACTGTCTGTGCTTTGAGTCAAATTCTTTAACAAATCTAAAAATGACTAAGTATCAAAAAATATAAAACACTAAAAACCATCATCATCACCAAGTACTCTAAACCTATCATTCACTAATATTTTTAGTCTTCGAAGTAACTTTTTTTCTGTTGAGTCTTATCTCTTGCAAAGTTCACCAGACCTACTTACTCTTTGAGAGACTAATTTGAGTTCGACTGTCTCATCTTGTGATCTAAGTGTTGATGGTTGTCTTTTTTTAATTTGTAAAGACTCTAATAGTCACATGCATGGCCTGGGCATTTACATTTGTAAAAATGCATCTGATTTGTTAGGAAACTAGATTTGAATCCACAGATTATTCCTTTATGTTCTTTTGTTTAGCACCACTTAACTCTATCATCTTTCTCTTTGTTTTATGTCGCTCTCCTTCATCTCAGGACTGCACTCTTTTTGATGTTATTTCTGATCCAATTGACCAAGCCCTTACTCTTTATCCTTTAGCTAATATCTTTGTTGTTAGTGACTTTAACGCTCATCACACTGAATAACTTGGCTCTAGTGTCAACAACTCTGCAGGCGTTAAGACCCATTACTTTTGCCTTTCTCAATCCTTAACACAAATAGTTAACTTTCCAACTCGTTTTCCAGACAAATCATTTACCTTCTCTACTCAAATGATGTCTTGTTTCTGATCCTAGTCAATGCTCAGTTTCTCCACATTTACCCTTAGGTGCTTCTGATCATGGTTTGATCTCTCTAAAACTATTATATCATTCTTCTTCATTATTAGAATCCTCTTTGTACCTCTCATTGTACCTCTTACAACTACCTTAAAACTAATTGTGACTCTTTTTGTGATTTTCTTCATAATGACCCTTTGGTAGAAGCTGCTGACAACTTTGGTAGAAGCTGCTGACAACTGTGCTTCTAATGTAACTTTTTGGATTTGGGCTGGCATGGAATCTTTTATTCCATCTAGACATTTTTAGGTCAATCCTCACTCTTCTCCATGGTTTTCTTCTTATTTTTCTGCTGCAATTTCCAATCATAACCATTACTTTCATATCTATCAGCAAAACAATTCTCCAGAAAACAGACGTCTGTTTACTACTGCTGGAAATTTTTGTAAAAAGGTCTAACGCCAAAACCCGCTACTCTCAGGTCACAAAATTTTGTATTTTATCTCAAAAACTAGACTCTTGTGACTTCTGGAGAATCTTTAATAGTATCTATAACAAGAGCAAATCTGTTATTCCACCTCTCTTGTATGGTTTAGATTTTGTCATACCACCTAAAGACAAAGCTAAATTGTTTGCTAAGAATATTTATTTATTATTCTCATCAATATCACCTTTTGATTTTACTAGTTGCATTCTACCTGATATAACCAACAAACTAGCTAATCCATTACCTGAACTTTATATCACTCCAGCTTTTGTACCTAAAGAGATTTCCATCATAGACTCTTCTACTGCTTGTGGTTCGGACAACAACTTGTTATTTTGTTTTTACTGCTGATTTGTTAATGGTAATAACTGATATGTTTCATCGTGCATTATATTGATGTGGAGAGGCTAAGGCTATCACACTTGACATTTCTAAAGCTTTTGATAAAGTTTGGCATGCTAGTCTTCTCCATAAACTTTCTTCTTACAGTGAATCAAGTAACATCTTTAAGAATATTAAACCCTTTCTTACTAATCATAGCATAAAAGTTGTCTTCGATGGACAACTCTCTTCTACATATCCTGTAACTACTGGGGTTCTTCAAGGTTCTATCCTTGGCCCTATACTTTTTTAATTATATATGAACAATCTTCTAGAAATTCTCACATATAAGATGGCATTGTTTGCTGATGATACTACTATTTATTCTTGTCTTGATAAGAAGCCAATTTCTGATTGCTCAGAGAGGGTAATTGAGCATGAATAGGATCTCACTTTTGCTCAGCATGAGGTTCTCAGCCGCTGGTGAACTTTAACTCAGATAAAACTCAATTTTTTTCAGCTAATCGTTATTGCAATAATTTAGATCTTCCTATATTTATGAACAGTAATGTACTTGATGAGTTATCTACCCTTCATCTTCTAGTATTAATTCTTACTTCCGATCTTTTTTGGAAACCATATGCAAAATTAGCATCCGCTAAGGTTGGATCTCTTTATTGTGCTCACCACTTTCTTACTCAGGATACTATTTTTTATCTCTATAAATCTCAAATCCGGCCTTGTATGGAATACTGTTGCCATATCTGGGGCAGAATGTCTAATGATGCCCTTCTCTTTTAGACAAGGTGCAAAAACACATTGTGTCTCTTATGCCATCTAATAAAATTCATTCTCGTGTTACTCGTCATTTAATTAAGTCTCATATTTTTACTGTGACTGTTCCTAAGTGCTCCAAAAATTCTTATTTATCTAGTTTTTTCCCTCAAACATCAGTCCTTTGAAACTCGCTTCCTTCATCTTGTTTTCCTGATTACTGATTCATATAACTTTTAAGTCATCTGTTAATCATTATCTTGCTTCATAAATTTCATCTTTTCTTTTCCAGTAACTTCCTACTCTAATAATGGTTGCTTGCAGCCTTGTTGGAAGTGAAGATCTTTAGACATGTTAAAACAACTTAAGATATGTTAAAACATCTTAAGACATGTTGAAAAATTAAAATTAAAAAACAAACTAAAATAAAGTCTCATAGACAGTAGCAGGATTTAAAAAGATTTTGGTATATCTTTTATATGTCTAGAATCACCCTTTCAAAGTTTTTTGGAGTATTTAATTGACATTACTTTCTAGATTTTTAAACCAGGCAACATGCAAAATAAAAAACAGCAGCAGTTTCAAAAAAAAATGTCATTACACCCATAATAATTTATAACGCCCTAATATATATTCATACATTTTTTAGTAATAACAACAATGATATATTCTCACACCCTAATATATATTCACATCCTAATATATATTCACACCCATATATATATTCACACCCTAATATATAGTCTACCCTCTAAGGTGTGAATATATATTCACACTCTGATATATATTCACACCTTAATATATATTCACACCTTAATACCAATAATATGTTATTACATTTTTTGTAAGAACGTCAATAATAATTAATTATATTTTATTTTTACTTAAAATTAATCTTATTTATCAGTTATTAAGTACTTGTTGATTGATTATTAAAAATTACAAATATCTAATTTCATACATCTATAATCATTAATAATTAGTAATTTTATAACAATTTAATTACATACCTATACATTTTAAGTTTTGTGATTTGTGATCTAACTCCATAGTATTATCTAGACATGAACAATAAAAACTGCCTTTTGTATTATGGCATCGTGTAGTCTTTGTATCACATTTGTTTGTGTATTTACTAGCACATTCATCGATATCTAAAATAATTCATGTTTTTACTTATGTAGCTTAACAAACAATTGATTTACAAGTTTAAATGTAAAACTATAAAACTATATTTTTAAACCAAATAGCAAATATTTCAAAAAATGGACATTAAATGCTTTTAAGTTTTTTTTACTTTTATATTTTTTTACTTTTTCCATTTACACATTTGTTTTACTTACAATTACAAATTAATTACAAATTTTTACAGCAAAGATTTAATGCCGTAAATGAGAAACTAACTTAATGTGAAAACTAACTTTAATGTAAAAACTTATACTGACTTATTTATACTATAAAAACTTATACGTTAACATCAACATAATTCATATATATATATATATATATATATATATATATATATATATATATATATATATATATATATATATATATATATATATATATATATATATATATATATATATATATATATATATATATATATATATATATATATATATATATATATATATATATATATATATATATATATATATATATATATGTATATATATATATATATATATATATATATATATATATATATATATATATGTATATATATATATATATATATATATATATATATATATTATTATTATTATATATATATTATTATTATATATATATTATTATTATTATTATATATATATATATATATATATATATATATATATATATATATATATATATATATATATATATATATATATATATATATATATATATATATATATATATATATATATATATATATATATATATATATATATATGTATATATATATATATATATATATATATATATATATATGTATATATATATATATATATATATATATATATATATATATATATATATATATATATATATATATATATATTATTATTATATATATATTATTATTATATATATATTATTATTATATATATATTATTATTATATATATATTATTATTATTTGCAGAGCCGTAAATCTTATAAACTATTATTATTTTTTTACAAAAATAAATGTTTTAAATATATGTTAGTTTAAATTTGAATGTTCTCAAAACAACTTGGTGCTGAAGAATAAAAAGAATATTCACTAAAAACCGCCAAATTAACGAACAAAATAATTCTATTATTTTGTTCAATACTACCTCGTTCTCGGCAAAACAGTAAATCTTTTAAACTATTATTATTTATATACAAAAATAAATGGTTTATAATATATATTTTTTAAATTGTCAAAATTTTGAAAGTTTATTATAAATTATAGATTTTATTAGTATATTCTTATTTTTTATTTAAAAAGTATATTTTTTATGTAAATGTAATTTTGTGTGTCTGTTTTTTATCAATTTAATTTGTAAACAAAGACTTACAAAAATAATTGCGTTTTCAAGGAAGTTAATAATTATTAAAGTTACTAAAACTAATTATGTAACAAACATAAGAAGTTTCTGTTTACTAAACACAAACGATGCATACAAAGTAACTCGCGGATGAACAAGCAGCGCGCCTGAGGTCACGACAGAACACAAATATATATAGCAAGTTATTAGATATAAAGAAAAGTTTCTAGATATTGGTTTACTAACTCTAATTTTTTCGCTTGAGTTGCCATTCTTAAAAACTCGTTATATTTTTTTCTGCTTTAAATACTAATTAAAATTAAAAAGCCCACTCTCTAAACATCATCAGCGATATTGTGAAGTAGTTTCGCTTCCTCATCATTATTTTTAACCTTTTTAGTTGACTTTTATCTAGTTAATTTAATTTCTATAGTAATTCAATGATTTAATTATTTCATTTGTATATCTTACTAAGAAGAATTGTTTCAAATATGTTAAACTTTTCAAACTACACGAAACATAAAATAGGGATTAAAAAAATTAACTTTTTTATTTATAAAATAATTTAGCTTAGACAAAAAATAAAACTTGTGAACTTTGTTAAATAAAGAACATTTGTTTCGATTTTAAACAGTCGTAAGATGTTACTTTATATAAAAACCGTCGCTTAATTTTATAAAGAAATTATAAAAGAGAGATGTTTCGAAAATATTTGCTCTAAACGTAATTTATTTTGCTTTAAGTTTTTTCGCTTTAAAAGATATTTTATTTTATTTTTTTATTTTTTTTTTGTAATTGTTTCTCATTGGTCCAATTAATCTTTAGCGCTTTTTTTTTTTTGCTTTTTGAAATGTTCTCAAAACAACTAAAAAATCTGGCCAGCTTTTCGCAACTAAATATTATTTCCGTGGTCAGCAATAGAGAGCGATTGCTCCCGTTTCCAGACCAAGCCTGATATATATATATATATATATATATATATATATATATATATATATATATATATATATATATATATATATATATATATATATATATATATATAGCTGATATATATATATATATATACATATATATACAAATATATATATATACATATATATATATATATATATACATATATATACATATATATACAAATATATATATATACATATATATATATATATATATATATATATATATATATATACATATATATATATATATATATATACATATATATATACATATATATATATATACATATATATATATACATATATATATATATACATATATATATATATGAATTATGTTATCAACATAATTTACATATATGATTTTATTTTAATTTACATATATGATGATTTTGTTGATAAAATATTATGTGATAAAACATAAAACTTACATAATTTATAAAAACATTGGTTTCTACATGTAAAAACAATAATACAGTTAACAGTAATATATTTTAGAGTTTTTATATATTGTCATAATTTATTTTAAGTCATAATTTGTTTGACACTTATATTGCTACTGTTAACTTTATTTTATTTTTTAATAGATCAATTACTAAATTAAATAACATTGTTTGAGAAAATGTTTAAAAGAAAGTTTTACCTCTGCAATGCTTTTTGTCAGAATGCAACTCATAACCATTATTGCATTTACATGATGTCCATATGATCCCTTCATCACAATCCTGTTCACATCCACGATCTAAGCATTTTTTAGGAACCACTGGCGCTGTATTTTCTAAAAATAATAAAAAAAAACAATTATAAGTAAATACATTTAATTAATTTTATACTTATTATAAAAAAAATTGATCAACTTCAAAATTAAAGTCTTTAGATAGATTATCAAGTTTTTTAAAGGTACTCAATGCAACTAAGAATACAACTAAGAGTGCAACTCATAAGAATGTAACTAAAAATACAACTTAGAATGCAATTAATAAGAATGCAACTAAGGCAATGAGCATACAAACAAAAAAACACATACAAATGTTTTAGGCAAATCTGAAATTTATAATTATACTAGCCTATAAAAGTATAGATAGTATAATACAAAATGTATATGTATATATAAATATATTGATAACAATATATATGTATATATATCACATTAACATAACAGTATTCAAAGATAGAGTCACTTAGTATTCAAAGATTCAAAGAATCACTTTTATAACATTTTTATAAAGTAACTTCTGTAACTTTAAACTTATTTTAAAAAAATGCAATTTCTATAAATAGAAACCAGTTATTTTTTTATTTTCTTTAATAAAACTGTTAACTTACAGAGATATCACAAACTTATGATATTATTCCAAATATAAATTTTAACATTGTATATAGACTATATAACATTATGTTTGAGTAATTATTTAAATATCAATTTTTCATTGCAGCACTACAATAAAAAAATTGGTATTAAAAGGTAATAAAAGTATTAGTAGCTAAATATTTTTTCAGAATGTAGTCAACATGTTTCAAATGAGTCCAAAAATTCCTAAATTTTCTTTCTTCACAGCATTTAGGCAACAAGAGACACAATATTTGGGTGTTATTCTATGACACCACACTTTTTTATTTTTGTATTTTGGTTCTTTTATATTTTATTTTGGTTTTTCTCAGATCTACTAGTAAGATTTTCGAAAATTCTCTCTTTAATTTTACCCAACAGTTTTCAATAGAGTTGAAAACAGTTGGATTGTCCAGCCAAGCGGAAGAAAGTTTAAGTGCATTTTTTTGTAGCCATGTCTTGAATTTTTTCTTGTCAATAATTTGCAGAATTGACAGCCTCACATTGTCATAGGTGTAAACCAGCATGAACATTGGCAGTGATTGCACCTAAATCATAAATGATGAATGTTGCTTCACAGAGGTTACAATGAATCAAGAACTAAAGTGGAAGTTTGATTTTAAGAGATTAAAGTGGTTTTTATGTTAATTCTTCGAGATTAAAGTGGAAGTTCTTTTCATGGTAATTCTTCGAGATTAAAGTGGAAGTTCTTTTTATTCTTCGAGATTAAAGAGATTAAAGTGGAATTGGAAGACATTTTGTCATTTTGTTAGCTTTTGCAGTGGTAATTCTTGGTCTTTAACATGATAATTGAATTACACATGGTTTTAATGTAAACAGAGTATATTAAATATTTTTCTATTAGTTGATAATTATTGCAATTATCCACGCAACATTTATGTTTAATGTGTTGCCAGCATGCATATTTTACATTTATAAATAATTATCTATAACAATAATGAATGGTGAGATCTTTTTGGCCATAAATGTATTACATCTTAGCTAGAAAAATGCTAATGATTGTCAATAAATAATTATTTTCCATTTTTTAGAAAAAAAATATTTTAGTATTGATTTTTTCAATACTAAAAGAAAAAAAAATTTTTAGTATTGATTTTATCAATACTAAAAACTGTCTAAATTGGGTTTAAAAGTAATATAAATATTTTGTCCAGATTTGAAAACATAGCAAAACCTAAATGCTTAACAATTACCCTTAATTATAAACATGATAACTTTTTGTGACATCATTCAACAGATTTTCTGTAATCATATATGTCATCATAAATTTCCAGTTACACAGACTGATATTAAATTGAAAATAATATTTATAGTTCAAATAATTATTAAAATTATAATAATCATGTTAAAACAGTTTTATTTTAGTTTTTTGTAAATTTAAGTTTTTTTTTTGTTAATGAGTTTGTCATCATTTTACTTCTACTAAGTTTTATCAAATGTCAAACTTCATAAATTTGTAGTGATACCAACTAATCGGCCTTGGCACCAACTTAATTTAACTTCTTTTACTTTAGCATCAGTCTTTTTTTTATTGGTATTGGCTGATTATTTTTATTTTTTTATTTTTTATCCTTCATAATTAAAAAAATAAATGAAATTTATTTAAACAAACAAAACTATATACATTAGTGAGGATTTTTTGAGTAATAGCTTTACATCCTAATATAGATATAAATTTAATTTATGAGACAAAAATTCTATCATTAAACAATTGTAAAAATTATACCATCAACCAAAACTCAACGGATGGTTGCGTTTTGATTGGTGAAATAATGGCCAATAGCTCGTATGAGCAGCAATAGTAAATGCAGAAAAAAAAATGCAACCTTACAATGACAGAGACTCAAGCTTGGCACCTCGAGCTGGTTCAACAAAGTTGAGTCATTTTAGTCCAATTATATTTGGGTAATTCTATGTAAAAGGAGAACAGTCCAATCAACCTTCAGATTTTCTTTAAATTTTAACCAGTGGTACCTATCAATTAAACATGAAAAAATGTAAAGTTTAAGCTCCAAAATCAAAGTGGTTCAAAAGTTATGACATTTTAAAATATAGCCGAAAAGGCCCTTTTTTTGACCACTATTATGTGTTTTTTAGTTGTATTTTTAATGAATAAATTAAGTACTAGTGGTAAAAGTAAAAAATTTTATATACCATTTGCAAGATTGCTGAATTCAAAAATGAGAAATGATGAGAAAGTTAACTTTTTCAGGTAATTTTTCTTTTCTGTTGGGTTGTGCTTTTACTATCTCTTGGAGTTGCTTAATTTTCGTGAATTGTTTCAAGTGAAAAAAGAGTTTTTAGACTATCTTAATAAAAAAGATGGCTTTGGTCTCTTAAAATATAATAAAAATATGTTATTTTAAAACTTTAGGCAAATAATTCCTTTTTTTGGGCTCACATTCTACATTATAGATTTTATAACTATACTTTTTGTGTAAATAATTTAATTTGTAGTGGAGGAATATGACTGAAAATTGGTAACTTACCATTTTTAAAGGTGCTGAATCCAATTACGAAGAGAAAATAACCTAATTCTGAATAATACTTGATAATTTTTACTGAAAAAAATTCATTAAAATTATTCGTTTCAAAAAACGTTTAACAAAGAGTTAATTTTAAATAACTTTTTTTTAATTGCGTTTTTCTTGAAATACCTAATAAGCATATTAAGGCGTTTTGAAAAACAGCTGCAGCATATATTTATAGTAAAAAAATAAAAAAACTTTTAATTATCAAAAGAAAGTTTTTTTTTTTTTCTAGCTACGGGCTTTTTTTTTGCCTCCACAGCAGCACCTTCTTGATTAGCAGGACTTTCTTATTAATTTAATATAGTTTTTTCTTTATTAAGTTTCAGGCAACTTTTATTTCAGACCATCTGCAGCTTATTAGGCCTAATTACCTGAGCACAATAATAACATAAGTTCTCAATCATCGTACATACGCATGATTTTTTTTTTTAGCTTTCTTAAAATATTTTCTTTTGTGAGTGCTTAATATTGTTACGTTACATATGTTTGTATATAATCTTTATAAAACTTCGAAAGTATTTTGTATTTTAAAATAATTTTAAAAAATTAAAAAAAGTAGCCGCCATTGGTAGGAGTCGAACCTCTAGTTTCTTGAACAGAAGTTCGACACCTTATCCACTCGAGCTACACCGGCATATTATATAGCGTAGATTTTATAATAATGTAGTAATTTTTTTGAGAAAAAAAAAATGTTATAGATCAAAATTATGGAGAGCTTGACACAATGTAGTTTTCAAGTGAAAATCAAACTGTAAAACATGATAAATGTTTCAGTATGTTTGAACATATGCTTTAACATTACTTAGTTTAAAGTTTACGTACGTTAGATATTCGTTCACGTTTTCTTATAGTGCTGCGACTCTTTCATGCCAATATTTCGGCTGCAATGGCTGCCAAGGGCTTCGTGTCAAAAACGCTCCAAGGGACACTACTACTATTACTACTATTAAAACTATTAAGTTCGGCAATATTATATAGAAGATAAATTTATTTTATTAAACTTAATAAAATTCTTTTATCAATTTATCCAAGTTCAAATTCTTTTAAAAATTTTAAAAAACGCTTTGTTTTACAATTGTTTTTGCTGCTTAAATTATGTAAAAATTATGCAAAGATTTTGTTAAAGGCAAAATATTAAAAAAGAAGGTTGATAGTTATTATTTACTTTTTAACCATTATAGTGATCCTCAAGTGCCGAGAAAAGTTGTATTCATGTCATAAAAAATCCTTGAAAAATAAGTTTCATGTTAATCAAACTTCCCAGAACAATTTATTTATTGAGATATAAGCAAAAATCTTTATAATTTATAAGACTCTTTTTTTTTATCCAAGGTTCAAGTAATAAGTTTAAATAAGTATAAGATTTTAAAAAAAGGACTTTTTTTTTTACAAACAACATTTAAATTTTATTTATAATTCTTTTTATAACAATATTGTTTAATTTAAAGATATTTTATAAAGATAAAGACTTACAAAGATTTTTAATGTGGTTTCAAATGAAATTTAATTACAACGCGGTACTTTAAAATACGCAACTGATGTAATTAAACATTTAACAATGTAAATATGTTAATTGAGTAAAGTTACATTAACTCACTTTACACTTTTCCATTATGCAGCAAAATCTCATAACAAGGCCTGATGACATTATATATAATTAACATTATATATGATTTCAATGATAAGTCAGTAATGAAAAATATCTTAAATGATGTAAAGTAGAGGAAGCAGTGATACCATTCATCAAAATAAGAACAAAACTGCAATAATTATTAGTAGTAAAAATAGGTTTGTTTTTAAGTGATTTGTTTTTGTAAAAAGATGAAATAATTATGCTTAAAAATAACTATGCAATTAGTAAGGATTATTTTTTTCCAGATATTTCCAGAATTCCGAATATTTTTCTAAATTTTTAGTTTTTACGGATATCCAAAACATTTTCCATACATGCAAGTTTAGGTATATATTTTTGAAGTATATTTCTTTTTTGAGCTTTTACACTCAGCACTCATACAAAATTAAGAAAAATTAAAAAAAAAAAGTTAGAAACAACTCACCTAAAAGAAAAATTAGGAGGAAAATAAAGGAAAATATATTCCAGATTTTTTCTGAACATTTTACCAAAACAATTTTCCAGAGCATTCAACAGTAAAATAGACATCTGCCAAAGTACCATCACAAAGTAAGTCACAAAAAGAATTGTAGACAATCAAAGATAGAAATAAGAAATGTGATGAAATAGTGAACCTGATGAAGAAAAAGAGATGGAAGTACTAGAAGACCATAGCATGTTTTGAACTAATGTAAATTGAAATGCTTCATAACCATTAATCTGAGATTTAGAGCTTTTCTTCAATAGATGATAATAGAAAGAGTTACATAACCAGTACCAAGTAAAGACAAGCAAAAACCCAAGAGTTAAAAAAATTCAGCATTTATCATCCTAGGCAGGAAACAATGTAACTTAGGTTTAGATCTATAATAGACGAAGAAGGACGAAGAAGGACGAAGAAGGACGAAGAAGGGACCTTCTACAAAACAGTAAGTAACAGTAACAGTAACAGTAACAGTAACAGTAACAGTAACAGTAGCCTTCTACAAAACAGTAGCTGATTGTTAATAATTATTATTATATAGTTTTAAAGCTCTGAACTTTTTATAAGTTGTTCAATTAATCGGGATTGGTATCAGCATAGGCCTTTTTCTGCTCCTCTACATCAACCACAAATGCGCAATCAGTACACCACTATCTTTTTATTCCGTTTTTTTCAGTTCATTTTCATTCAGCTTTACACCTCACATATACTTTGAGTATTTTTAATTCCATGTCTGTATGTACTTACATTTATTTATAAAGTCTTTGTCCACTTTATGCTATTTTAAATCAATTTATGCTTTTTTCATATTTTTAAAACTATATATTTTTTAAATCTATTGAAATAGACAACTTGAATATTTTAAATTTGTTGCAATAGACAACATGTTTTTAATTTTTAATAAATACATGTACAAAAAAATTTTATATTCATTTTTTTATTATTCGCAGTTGTAATGTTCAATAAACATTTGTTTCTATTATTTTTATTTACTAACAAGTAACAAGTTCTGTCCACAAATAGACTGATACTTTTAAAGGTCTTATACATATGTCATATACATGGGTGCTTTTTAATCACCTGAAATAGAACTTCTGGTGATATTTATACATACTTTTTACCTTTTTTTGCATGTTGATGGTTTTGAATTTTATAACCCTCATTGAAGTTTTTATTGTAGTAAAAACAAGGTATTTAATATCACACATTTGTCTACTTATATAAATGAACAGATTGGATGTATTGCTTGTTGGTTTCAAACTTTTTGTTTCAATTGTCCAAAAGGTTCTTTCTTCAGTGTTTGCTGGTATCACAAAGAATATTTTCAACATAAGAAGGGCATGTGTGATTAGATTTTGCTGGTATTTGTCATAAATTGCTTGCTGTCAAACTGGTCTTTTTTCACTAGGATACAGTATGAATTGTTTAGTTTAACAATATTAAACATAATAAAACA